GAGCTTCTTGTCAGCTTATAAAACCCAGGTCTCACTTAGTCATTGTCTAGCAGAGTGTTAAAATACTAGAAACATTCAAATTTTGTTAAAATGAGCTGTGCTTGTCAAACTACCAATACTGTTTTTTAAACCTGTCCTGACCAATTACCCTGGTCTTTGTGCCACCTGTAACTTACATGTTTCCAATTACCCTGGTCTTTGTGCCACCTGTAAAAGCTGTTGGTAATGATCAGTCTTCAAAGTTGTGATTAAAATTATGCCAGATTTGGCCAAACTGTGCAGAACCTACCATAATTACCTCCGTTCAGTGAGGTAAGGCCAGATGCTCTTTGAGGTCCTGAAATGAATCACTACCAAACCATCTGATGCCTCTGTACTGATAATAGTAAGGTGTCAAACGTTTGATCTTGTAAAAAAAGGTTAAAAGCCATAAACTTCACAAAATATAGTACAGATTGATCTTTACTTTTGGCAGCCGAACCTTTGATTTCATAAAAGAAAGAAATCATACCAACTGCAAGTAATAAAGAACAAGTAATTCAGTTGGGTTGACTCTTCTGGAACTTCATTTTTCATTTCAGAGCAATATTCTTTCCAAATATAATTTAACAAAATTAGAACTATAAATTAAAGCAAATTAACAAGTAATCTTTTGATGTTATCAAAAAAATATTATTGATTTAAACAAATACATTGAATCAATTTTATTTTTCTATACTTTTTTTTTTAATATTTTCACTCTCATTTGGAATGAATTATGGAGAAGATTTAAAAACAATCTGGAAGGAGTTAATTTTACATGACATTTCTTAATAGACTCTTCCTGTTACATAAGATGCCACTTGGTTCAATGAGTACAAGAACAAAAATGTGTTACTAGTTATATTCTTCTTTCAACATTAGACTAAGCAGAGGAATACAAGCTTTCTCTTTTCCCTTAGGAATGAATCTACATATCTGTGACACAGCCTCTTGTTAAAAATGTTTTTTAATTGTAGAAAATTATTCCGTTCACTGGAAGCTTGAAAGATAATTTTAAAAGAAATACAGGATTGGCTATTTTGGATCCTGATGATGGCAGCTGCTCTCAGTAAATGACTTCAGGAACAATGTGGGTAAGGCACATACATAGAAAAATTGAACCTGGAATGGATATGAAACAGCATCTCACAGAGTTTCTAACAGAGTACGTTTATGGTTTTGATAAGGGCAAATCTGTAGTTAAAGTTGTAACTTCAGTCAGGAGACTTTTTTTCCCCTCCAGCTGTCACAAGAAAGCACTATTTTCTTTAAAGTCAGCACTAAATTTTAAAGAAATAAAGTCAATAGGGAGGAGGAAGAGAGGAAAAAGACTTTTATGCTTCCAAGGACAAGTGATTTTAATTATCCACTTCAGCCGACTATTTAACCTCCAGAAATATCTCCTAAAACCTCGTAGGTAAAGCTAATCTCAAAAGAAAAGGTTTGGGGTTGAGGTAGATTCTGATGATGCCAGGACACACATAGCCATATAACTTTACTAAGGCGAGGTGAGATCATTTTCTACAAACCCACTTCATGCCTCCAACTCCTCCTCTACAGGGAGAGGACTGGGTTTCCCACCCAGTGTCTGCATTTCCCACCAGTGCAAGAGATAACGTGATGCCCTTTTTCTCTCTTACCCTCTCTCCAGGAAAAGCCACAGCCACAGGAGAGCGTTACATCCCATGTGCCATGGCTTGGCGTGAGCCAGGCACTGTCAGCCCACCTGGCTGGCTGCTGGCCTGACAGCAGATGTCCTGGGGCTGGTACACGTGCCTCACAGCTGATGCCAACACCAGGAGGGCTCCTGCAAACCATCCACACCATGAGAGCTGACTGCAACAGGCATGCAAAGCATGCAGGTTGCACCACATACCCAACACAGAGCTCTTTCTGCTCATTAAAAATAACCATTCTCAATGCATCTGAGGACTCTGGGTGCTTACAGTAGTCCTGGTCTTGCTCTGTTAGGATTTTTGGTGAACAGGTTGCACCACATAACCAACACAGAGCTCTTCTGCTTATTAAAAATAACCATTCTCAATGCGTCTGAGGACTCTGGGTGCTTACAGTAGCCCTGGTCTTGCTCTGTTAGGATTTTTGGTGACTGGGCTTTGGCTTTCAAATCTAACGGTTGCTGTGTGCTTAAAGACAATGAACACCAGTATCTCCATTTTACACGTGAGGAAACCAAGTCACAAGGCCATGAAGGGACCTTGTCAGGACAGGACAAAGTGTTGAAGTCTGGTAGTAAAACCAAAGGAGGAATACAGATCTCCTGAGACACAGTTTAACAGGCCAAGCTGCCACCACCATAACCACTCTACTTTCAACACAAATCTCTATTTACAGGAGCTGTACCAGACTAAGTGACTTTTCCTTCAGGAGCTTGTACGTATCATCACAGTGCCATTCTCCTGTTATTTTTCCCTCTGAGGGAATTCTGAGACTGTTTTCCCTCTCAGTAGAAACACATCCTACCACACCTGGAGGAGATTTTGGACACCCATCACTCTGCATCTAGGCTGCTCAGACGCTGGCTTGTTGGTCTCTGTGAGCTTCTTCAGCAGCCCTTTTCCAGAAGTAGCAAAACTACCACTGAGGGGATATTGAAGCAAGGAATAGGCCAAGGCCTGCCTACGCCACAGCTTATGGATAAATTTCAACCTGTTTCTGAGGCATCTCAAGACCATTTGGAGTCTCCTGAATCTACCACACCATTGACACTTCAACAATTTCACTGAAAGTCTCAGAAGATAAGGGATCTTTTTTGTGTCACCCAAAAGGTGACTCATTATCAGCCCTGTAGTAGTCAGGCTAGATGACCTTTTTGCCTGCAGGTCCAGAGGGGGTTAGGAGGAGGAGAGGAACAGATCTGGAACTCCGAGACTTGAGAAATGGCAACGAGGGGCCTCACACAAACCATGTGCTCAGCTGAAGGATAAAGAAGAGCCACAGTCTGTCCCCATCCTCCTTCAGAGTTGTGGCAGCTGGAGGAGAAGCAATGTGGGATGGCTGCTCTCCCTTGCCACTTTCTTTCACAAACTTCCCACAAACGTTGGCTTTCCAGACAAAAGGACAGCACTGCAGACTAGGCTTTTCAACGGGTCATGAAAATCCATCTTGAGATCCAACCATGCAGAGATCCAACCATGGATGTGAGTGTAAGAGAGAGAGCGTGAAAGCTTAGGACAAAAATAAAGAAAAGACACCTCTTCCATGAGCATTTGGAATATTTCAAAATCAAAAGAAGTTTCTGAAACTGTAGGGTTTTGTATACATGTAATTCAGCTAATGATTCTAGCAGTGTTTAAAGCATTTGCCACGGAGAAGACCTAGGAGAGGGGGATATCGGAAAAAACCCACAAAATAGGTGTTTTGTCATACTTTTTTCCTCTTTTTTTGATTGTGTAATCAAGAGATGGACCAAGAGGAAACTGAAGGCTAATGTAGAAACTGGTAGGAGAGCGAGCCATGGCTATCTAGACCCTCACAAAAATAATCTTAGGATAGTTACAGAAGGAGAGAAAAAAGGACACACATATGTACCAGTCTAATCCACACATGCTAACTTTTAGGACTCTGGCTAAGATTGAATTTATATCTACTGCCCAGGCCAGTTAATCAACTATCATTATTAGAGACTGAAGGCTTAGAAAATCTCTGCCTTTGCAGCTGTGTGTGTGTCGAGTATGGAGTCTCTCTTCTCACAAGAGAAATACAAAAAAATAAATGAAATCTCCACTCTGAATGAAGGGCAAAAGGGCATGTAGGAGTACAAAAATCACAGCACCACAAAACTGGAACAAACCAGTTTCTCCACATTGACCACAGGCATCTTTATGTATTGCACTGACTATTCAAGGGGATTTTATCTCCATTATTCAAGAATACTCACCTAATTATAACTCATCTTTCATAAAGTACCTCGTCAATAACTTTATTGCTTCTAGTTCACTTCCCCTTATATCAAGTCTGATAGCTATTTCACCATCCTGAAATTGCTGGACCCCTATCATGCATATTTTACTAACAAGATCCCTTCCAATATCTCTATTTTTCTTTCTGTGCACAAGATGATTTTGTTTGGGCAACGAACAGCCATTTTTCAGAATTTTTTTCAGGATTCAAATGGACTGTGGAGCAAGAGTCCAAAAAGTTGCATGATTTCAGTCCCCTTGATTGCTCATTGTCACCCTGCTGACATTCACTGTCCAAACATTTTTATAAATTGCAAGTGAAAAGGACCAAAAGAGAGAGAAATCATAGCGCAAGCTAAAATATATACCAATACATAAGTACAAGTGCAAATATTGGTGCGTTTCACTAAGTGGTTTCATATCAAAAACTAACACAGATACACAACTTTCTCCTGTTCCCTGAAACACAATAGGAAAGGTATTTCAGCATCTGTTTTGTTTTCTTCCATCCAACACCAGCAGCCGGAGTTAAACACCGCTAGACAGAGAAACAACATGCCTTGCTTTACGTTAAGCATTTCCACATATCTTTATCCTTTCCTTTTCTTCCCACCTTGTTAAACAAGCCACTGGGTGACAGGACAGCAATGTATAAGTGTCCATAACAATACACACATAAGCCATCCCTCAGGAACTCCTCACAGGGGAAAAAAAGCTGCCTTGCAGAAGTTTCTCTCTTCCACCTGAGCTTTCCCTGGGATGCGAGCAGCCTCTCATCCCTAGAGGGCAGCCGATGAACACAGCTCCGGGGCGCAAAGCGCCTTTCCCACAGGCTGCAGGATTTATCACTTTTAAACAGCTTCTCCCTTCTGTCTCTAACTGAACGTCCAAGCAAACCCCTGGGACTGAAAAGCTTTGGGTCATTCCAGTTACTTTCTTACAACTCCTCATGTAAGCACGCCCAGAGAGCATCCATAACCCATCCCCCCCTCCCTCCGCTGCCAAATTTAGGGACAACCATTAGCACCCTCTTCCAACAGGTACTCCAAAGCCCCTTACCTGATGATGACAAACATGACCAGCGAGTTTCCCACCAAGCCGACAACGAAGACCACCGAGTAGACAGCAGTGATGATGATGGGGATGGCGGGGGAGATGCTGGTGTGGTTGTGCTGGGCGTCCCCAAAGGCCCCGGTGGTGTTGCTGTCGTAGTCCCCCCAGCCCAGGAGCCAGCTGCTGCTGGTGCTGGGGGGACGACAGGGCCCCGGGGAGCAAGTGGAGTCCGGCTCCTCCCGGAAAATCTGCACGGGGGCATCCATACGGGCACGGCCCCCACGGGCAGGACTGGGATCAGAAGGGGAGTGCAGACAGCAGGAGGTGAATACACTGAAAAGAGGGGAGAGAGGAAAAGAAAGAGAAGTGCTGTCACAGCCACTGGACTTTAACACCTCCAAATTTGCACTTGTGAAGGGGAGCTCTGCTGTGGTGGGAACTGTCATTTGCCAAGCAAACATTTAAGCAAACCAGATTCGTATCAAAAAATTAAAAGTTTTACATCTGGCTATGTAACGGGTAAGTGCTGCTCCTCCAGGTGCACAACAAAAGTTTTCCTCCACTTGTAGAGATTGCACAGAGAAACAAGTCAGATGGGAAACAGCTCAGATCCACCCCCCACATTTTAACCCCGTCTCTCCCATCCTCCATATTTTAAGTCAAACAGCATCCTAATGACAGGGGCTCCTTCCTGCCTAAGCTCTACTATAAAGAGGGAGAAAGAGAGAGAAACCCACCACCTCCCTGCATACCATTTTTCACACCCTGTTCTGAGCTGTTTTTTTCCAAATCCCACACCTGATTTCAAAGAAGAGACACAAACACATTAATGGCATAAAATACCTGTTTCAGTCCAGGAAAAGGAGCGGAGTCCTCAGACAGATGTTCTTGGCAGGAAAAGAAGAAAAAAATAAAGCAGCTGCTTGGCTCCTGGATGTACCACCGACCTTCTAGGACTTTTGAAGCCGAGGCACCTGTGCCTTCGGAGGGGCGTGCTGGCAGCAGAGCTGGTTCCTGGGCAGGAGCTGCGATGTGGTAGGAGCAGTTGCTGCTGTTCCAGCTCCCACCGCTTTGCCTTTTCCCTCTCAGGCTCCCTCTGCCTCCCTCCCTCCCTCCCGCTCTGCCAGGGCTCCAGCAGCACTCTGCACCGATGCACGTTCTCCTCTGCCTCTGTCCCCGCAGCTCAGGAGCTCACATGACTTCTGCCTAAACACTGAGAGGCAGATAAATTAAAAGAAAAGCAAAAAATAAGTTCTGCAATGAATGAACGCTTATTTCTAATACCTTTTTCCGAGTGGCCTTTCCTTGTTCCCCCTGCGCTCCCAGGCCTCTAGCAATGATCCTCTCTGCCTTATTGAATCCCACATGCTTTTACACACTAGTAGATGATTAATATAACAGGAATTTTCAGCTTCAATGTCTTGGCTGCTCCATCAGTTCTTTCGTGCCTCAGCTCTACTATTGGGCACCCAAAACACTTCTCGCTGGGTGGCTGAGCCCCTGTTCCTTTACACCTGCAACTTGCAGGGAAGAATCATAGAATCATAGAATTGTCTAGGTTGGAAGGGACCTTAAAGATCATCTAGTCCAACCATCAACCTAACTCTGACAAAAAAGAAATAAGAAATAAGCAATAATAAAATCACTAAACCATATCCTTGAGGACCATGTCAACCCGTCTTTTGAACACCTCCAGGGATGGTGCCTCAACCACTTCCCTGGGCAGCCCATTCCAATGCTGGATAACCCTTTCCATGCAGAAATTTTTCCTAATATCCAATCTAAACCTTTCCTGGTGTAACTTGAGGCCATTTCCCCTTGTCCTATCTCCTGTGACTTGGGAGGTGAGACCAACCCCAGCTTCTCTACACCCCCCCTTCAGGTAGTTATAGAGCACGATAAGGTCTCCCCTCAGCCTCCTCTTCTCCAGACTAAACAACCCCAGCTCCCTCAGCCTCTCCTCATCAGACTTACTCTCCAGACCCCTCACCAGCTTCGTTGCCCTTCTCTGGACCTGCTCCAGCAGCTTGATGTCTTTCTTGTGGTAAGGGGCCCAGGACACAGTACTCGAGGTGAGGCCTCACCAAGAAGTTGGCTAGCAGAGCAGAGAGAGAGAGACTCTGATTACTGCCCTTATGTTCAAGCCATCCCACATTGTGTGAGAAGCCAAGAACTCCCTGTAACGCTGCTGGAGCTCTGCTCTCCCCAGGCTCCAGCTGCAGCCAGGGATGGAGAAATGGTGTGTGCAGAAGTCACATCTCTCAGAGCTTGTCCCTAATATACTCCATCAAGCAAGGGTTGGGAACATACCTATCTGTTTTCAGGATATCCCTTAATTTGCAAACAGACCTTGAAATCTCTTCCAGGGGTTTCTCTAAATGGCAAATTGGAGAGGTGAGGCAAGATCCTGAGTTGTTCCCGCTTCCTTGGAAGAGGTGAACAGCGAGGCTGGCTGGACCTCAAAGCACGTAGCAGGAAACCAGGTCTCTGCAGGGAATAGCCAACAGTCGTGCCTTTCTGGGAATTTGGTGAAGCTCAGACCACCGAGAAAGTGGTTGCAGGTTTTCTTCACCCTTTTCTGATGTTGAAACTTTACTTCATGCTCCTCTTCTTGAGTGTGATCAGGCTGAGGTTTCTATTTTTTTTCCTAAACCTATAATCAAGATGAGAAATTATGTCAGCTGTAGAGTCAAAGGTCATGAAGGAGGTTTAAAAGGTACAAAATCTCCTCTCTTAGAGGCAGAGGCTTGTGCAAAGGTGGTGATGGCTTTGACTGTGGTCACTGCTTTCTCCAGAACATCAGAATCTGCTCACTACCATCTCTACAGAGCTGTCTAAAAGTTTCATCCTTAATGAAGATTGAAAAAAATGCAAAACAGAAAACATGTGACAAAAATACATTTTAAGGATGGAACACAGACCTGGGACAATAATAATTTATTGGAAGAAAAAGGGAGATCCTAACATAACATGTATCCCTGTGCTGTTTTTATTCTCTGCACTCCATGGGCTCTTGAAATTGCACTGAAGGGAATTACTACTATTACCTCTTCTCATATATGGGTTTACTTGACAGTTTTCTACTTCTTGTTAACACCTTCCCCACACTTCTCCACATTTTAGTATTAAAATACACAGGAGAGCTCAAGATAGTAATATTTTAGGATTCATTGATAATTCATCTCTTAGGAGCAATCATTTTGTTTGGATAAGCACCTTAAAGTTGTGGATGCCCCATCCCTGGAGGGGTTCAAGGCCAGGCTGGATGGGGCTTTGAGCAACCTGGTCTGGTGGGAGGTGTTCCTGCCCATGGCAGGAGGTTGGAACTGGATGCTCTTTCAGGTCCCTTCCAAGTCTAACCATTCTGATTCCATGACGAAATTTGAGCATATGTAGCTGCAAAATATTAAAAAAAAAAAAAAAAAAAAGGATTCTAAGGGTTAGGCTAAAGTGAGGGAGAAAGAAGCAATAGCTTGTTACTCTGCAATTGCTACAGGTGGATCAGAAACTTCTATATGGGGAAGAAAAGTCTACTGTTGCTCTGCATAAATCTAAAGCATAGACAATGTAAAAAACTCACTAAGATTAATAGCACACTCAAAGCTTTTTCAGGCACCAGTGGCTGGACAATAAGCTACCCTTTCTCCAGCTAAATCCTGTGCTGAAACTCTCCAGTGATCTTAGAGGCAGCACAGAAAAGACGTGCTCACAGCTATGGTCACTGACCCTTAATGGAGTGTGCATTGCAACTACATGGAACTAGAATGCGGCGGAGTTCGACCGCGATGCTGCAAATTACAGGGAGGGTCAGAGACAACATTTAAGTTGCCTGGTGCTTTCTGTCTGTGTGTGCTCACTTTGGAGGCTCAACTCTGGCTCTTGGTAGCTGTGGGCCTTTGCAATTCAGCAGAAAGAAAGCACGAGGCTAGAGAAACACCTTTTCTTCTGTAAGTCAAGTCAAATTTGTATACACTGTTAATATTTTCCTTTCTTGTGTTTGTTTTCCTGATGAAAACTGTAATAGCTGGATTATCAGCATTATCAGCAGTAATTGGTCTCACCACAGGTACTGGAAACACCTGTGATGACATCAATAGAATAAACAAGGGCAGAGGGAGAACCATGGTCCATCACCATCTTCCTCTCCTTCAGCATGTAGCTGCCTAGTGCCTCTGTGCCCTTCGTGATAGTACCATGGAAAAGCCAGCAGTCTCCTGAATTCATGAAGGAAGAGGAAGAAAGGGTTTACAGGTGACTTAACCCGATCTGTCCCTATTCTCTCTGAGAGATTGCATTAGGAAAAAAAAGGCCCTGTTCTTTCAAGGGAAAGCAGGGAAAGGTTTAGGGGAGAGAAACAGCATAAAAGCACGGTGCCAGCACTCAGATGCAACTTTCCTCCTGCGCAGCTGTTGTGTTGTTACAGACCTGTGCCTCACACCCCCCACAGATTTTTTCACTGCAGCACTGTAGAGTCAGGGGTCACCTCCATGGACTTTGGGAGACACAACAGAAATCACCTGGACCTTTTTTCATTAAGATGCAAAACTATATACCAAATCCTATATTTAAGGAGCATTGTTTAAGCTGTGAATTCCAGTCCTCAGAGGTAAAGAAATTCCACACTTGGTGGTCCAACACTTAAGCACTACAACACATATGCCTTTACACAGCCTTTTTCTTTTTTTCCCCAGGCTCTCTGCCTCATTCCCAGACCAGCTACACAATATTGACACCTGAAGTGGAAGGGCAACCATAAATCAGGAATTTTGTATCTGCAAAGCGTTTTCTTTTGCGATCCTAGCAAAATTCTTTGAATGAATAAGGAACATGGAGGGGGAGGGAGGCAGGCGGTATTTCAAAATAGCAGGTGGGAAGGGCTTCAGCGTTGCCTTTTTCATTACCAAAAAACTAAAGTGAAGAGTTGCCCCCATAGCACACTGCTTCAAAAGCCGAACAATGTGCCGGGACATTAATTCAGCCCTGACTCAGAGGTAAGAAGGAACCACACTGAATCACCGGCACGACTCCGTGCGGCACTCGCTCTCGGCGCCGCAGCAGAGACCCAGCTCCATCCCTCCAGCACACACGGGCTCGGAGCAAAAGCTCCTTTGCTGCCAACGCTGTCTCCTGGAACACCATGACACTTTCTAGGTCTAAGTTAAATGTGCAGGATGGGTCAGACCTTAAAGTTCTACCCTGGATTGTAATACCGGACACTTTGATACGGGACCATTTGCAGAGGTCACTTTTTGTTCTAGAGGTTGGGAGAGAAGCCAGATGAGTTATGTGGAGCAGGCCATCCAGATGGGTTTTTTAGCTCATAATTGGTTTTACGACCTTATTGACCAAAGGCTACAATAATAGTGCACCTGAGTAAAGGGAGGAGATGCTGGAAACGCTTTCTGGTGGCTCCAGTTGCCAGGGAAACAAAGTTCTCCTGGCTCTCTGCATCCAGAAATGTTAGCTTGCTGTGTGAACGCAGCTCTCGGGAAATGGTGTATTCTGTCCTCCTTGAGGACCAGCAAGGGAGAGGAAGGGGAAAAAGAGACTTTTTTGTACACATATATTGGTCATAGCAGACTGCAAATAGTGTAAGACTTGTGCATTGTTGTTTACTTGTAGATGGTAGAAGCTCGTAGTACAGATCTCTATTGTTACCATCAGAAACCAACCCAATGAGACCCTCAGCACTGGGGCATCTTCTGCAGCCTGTCCCAAGGCACATCCATCTTCCATGGGAAAGACCTTGGGAGGGGGGTGAAAGACAAGCCAGCTGCAGGGAGGCACTGGGTGGGTGATGAAAGGCTTCTGACCCCAGGACTTAAAAAAGAAGGGGTGACGTACAACCAGAAGCTAATGGACAGCGAGAAGGTGGGTGGCTGGCATTAGGGACTTCAGCAGGTGATACCAGGAGGCCATTTGCTCTGCTGTCATCCTGCCACTCCCCAGCCAGCTGTGGCACACGGAGCAGGGGCAGAGTTGTCAAAGCTGGTCCCCACTTTGCTCTCTTCCTTGAATTTCATGTCACCAAGGTTCCCAGCTTGGAGTTTTGTATCTTCCCTCTTTTCT